TTTTGAGACTGAGACTCATTATGAAGCTCAGGTTCTAGTTTGCCATCATACTGCTTCAGCCTTGGGAGGCCTGGAACTGCAGGTGCGCACTACTGTAGGTCACCTATAATGATGCTGTTTTTAAAAATGTGTCTAGTACTTCTTATTATGTCCAATTATCACAATTAACTTCCCCAGGACATTGTAGGATAAAGAAAATGAAGGTACAAAAAGCAGATTGGTAATTTTTATTTTGCATGCCAGTACTGGGACTTGAACCCAGGCCCTGGGTGCTGCCCCTTAGTGTTTTTAGCTCAGGGTTGGTGCTCTGAAACCCATTAATTAATTGGAGATAAGAGTCACACAGAGCCGGACGCTGGTGGCTCACGCCTGTCATCCTAGCTACTCAGGAGGCTGAGATCTGAGGATCGCGGTTCAAAGCCAGCCCGGGCAGGAGAAACCATGAGACTCCTATCTCCAATAAACCACCAGAAAACTGGAAGTGGCGCTGTAGCTCAAGTGGTAGAGCGCTCGCCTTGAGCTGAAGAGCTGAGGGACAGCGCCCAGGCCCAGAGTTCAAGCCCACGACTGACAAAAAAAGAAAAAAACTCACACAGATTTCCCTGCCCAGTAGGACTATGAACCTAGATGCTCAGATCTCACCTGAGTAGTTAGGGTTACAGGTGTCAGCCACTGGCATCAGACTAGATGAAGAAACTTATGCAAGTCTCAGGTCTATCTGCCAGGGTAGGAGGTCTGGGTTTTCATGAGTCTTGTTTGGTAAAACCCTGCACCCTACATCCTGGATTTCTCCCATGAGTAAAAGAACCAACAGTCAAGTATGGTGGTGCATGCCTGTAATCCCTGTCTCAGGGGAAAAAAAAGAACCTGGAAGTCTTCTTCCAGAAAGGCCTCCTATCTTCCTCCAGCAACTGAATGGGCCCTGTTGCCTCCTGGCTGGTCTGGACAGTGGTTGAGACCAGGAAGGAAGCCCAGGTGTGGAAATCGATTTCCCTTCCCCCCTCCCATCACACTTGGGGGGATACTTAGGGCTGAGCACTGCCACTTGATGACAAATGACTGGGTAGGTCCTGTGCCTAGAGAGTCAACTTCCTGCCTCAAGGAGTCTCAGAGGTGGCACTTCACTCAAGAGCAGAGCCATCAAAGGTTTCCTGAGAGACCCTCAGAGTGGACACACTCCTAAGTATTTCACCTGCCCAGCAACCTGCAGCAGCAGCAGCCCCACCCTCACCTCCCCAGGCCTGGCCAATCAGAGCATTTGATCTCACCAGCCACTGGCTTTGGTTCAGAGATAGGGATCTGAGCTCCAGGATCATGCTATACCTGAAGGTCCTCAGCTCTTGGATTGAATAATTTTTCAATTTTCACTTACATCAATGTTATTTAGTGTGTGTGGGTGTGTTTGCGTGTGTGGGTGTGCGCGTGCCTATGTGCCAGTCCTGGGGCTTGAATTCAGGGCCTAGGCACTGTCCTTGATCTTGTTTTGCTCAAGGCTGGTGCTCTACCACTTGAACCATAGCTCCACTTCAGGGTTTAGGTTTTTTTTTGTCAGTCATGGGGCTTGAACTCAGGGCCTGGGCATTGTCCCTCAGCTCTTCAGCTCAAGGCAAACGAGCCACAGCGCCACTTCCAATTTTCTGCATGGTTTATTGGAGATAAGAATCTCTCAGACTTTCCTGCCCAGGCTGGCTTTAAACTGTGATCCTCAGATCTTAGCCTCTTGAATAGCTAGGATTACAAGTGTGAGCCACCACTGCCCAGCTCACTTCAGAGTTTTTGCTAGTTAATTGGAGAAAACTATCTCATGGACTAGCTTCAAACCATGCTCCTCAAAGCTCAGCCTCCAGAATAGCTAGGATTATAGGTGTGAGACACCAGTTCCCAGATTAGGCTTGCTTTGGGGATGGGGTCTCAATAACTTAAGGTCTTTTCTGCTGGGGCTGGCCTGGAACTGTTCAGATCTTGGCCTCTTTAGTGGCTTGGATTACAGGCATATGCCACTGAACCTGATTTTCCCTTCCTTTTTTTTTTTGTCAGTTATGGGACTTGAACTCAGGGCCTAGACGTTGTCCTGGAGCTCTTTTTGCTCAAGGCTGCCACTCAGGAGCCACAGTTCCACTTCTGGTTTTGGGATAGTTAATTGGAGATAAGAGCCTCACAGATTTTCCTGTCTGGGCTGGCTTTGAACCACGATCCTCAGATCTCAGCCTCCTGAGTAGCTAGGATGACAGGTGTGAGCCACCAGCACTCAGCTCCCCATTTGTTTTCAATGGAATCAATAAACCAGGAGATTGAGTTTCTTAATTTGGCAGGGAGGTCTGAGGGCGCCCTGCTGGGCTGCCTACCCCAAGGCTCTTCCGGGTCACAGGAGAAGCTTCTAGAAGCCAGAGCATGAAGAGACAAGGCTGAGGCAGAGGTGAAGTCTCCTGGCTGAGGTCACATCATCATTGTCTGAACCACATCCCCAGAGTCCTAGGATTGTATGTTTGAGATGTCCTCAGTTACCTAAATTGAATCTTCTGTCCTAGTCTTTGGAGAAGCTGGGATTATAGACATACACCATCAGTCTCAGCTTTTATTTATTTACGTTTTTTGGCTGGTACCAGAGTTTGAACGTAAGTCCTCAGGCTTGCTTGGCTGGCACTCTACTACTTAAGCCATGGTTTTTGGGTTTTTTTTGCTGATTTTTTTTGGGGGGGGTCCGGTCGTGGGGCCTGAACTCTGGGCCTGGGCGCTGTCCCTCAGCTCTTCAGCTCAAGGCTAGCGCTCTACCACTTGAGCCACAGCGCCACTTCCGGCTTTTTTCTTTTTGCTTATGTAGTGCTGAGGAATCGAACCCAGGGCCTCAGGCATGCAAGGCAAGCGCTCTACCACTGAGCCACCTTCCCAGCCCCTTTTGCTGATTATTTTGGAGATGGAGTCTCATACTTTCCTGCCTGAGCTGGCTTCAAATTTTGATCCTCTAGATCTTGGCCTCCTGAGTAGCTGGGACTATAGGAGTGAACCCCAGGCACCCAGCCTTGTGTTGCTTTTGGGACAGGACCTCACTTGTTTGATCCTCTCAGCCTGTCTCCCAAGGAGCTGGGATTCCAGGCATATTCCTCCATTCCCAGATTTTCCTTATATCTTTTTTACTTTTTTATTTTTTTTTGGGTCCGGTCGTGGGGCCTGAACTCTGGGCCTGGGCGCTGTCCCTCAGCTCTTCAGCTCAAGGCTAGCGCTCTACCACTTGAGCCCACAGTGCCACTTCCGGCTTTTTTTTTCTTTTTGCTTATGTGGTGCTGAGGAATGGAACCCAGGGCCTCAGGCATGCAGGGCAATTGCTCTACCACTGAGCCACCTTCCCAGCACCTATCTTTTTTATTTTTAGTCAGTCATGGGACTTGAACTCAGGGCCTGGGTATTGTCCCTGAGTGCGTTTACTCAAGGTTATCGCTCTACCACTTGGAACCACAACACCACTTCTGGTTTTCTGGTGGTTAACTGGAGATAAGATAACCATGATTGTCAGACCTTAGCCTGAGAAGCTTGTGGGCATGAGCCGTGGGCACTGAGCTCCCCACATTTTTTTTTTTTTTTTGCCAGTCCTGGGGCTTGAACTCAGGGCCTGTGCACTGTCCCTGAGCTTTCTTTTTTTTTTTTTTTGATCAGTTATGGGGCTTGAACTCTGGGCGTGGATGCTGTCTCTCAGCTCTTCAGCCCAAGGAGAGTGCTCTACCACTTGAGCTTCTGATTTTCTGAGTGGTTTATTGGGGATAGGAGTCTCATGGCCTTTTCCTGTCCAGGCTGGCTTTGAACCATGATCCTCAGTTCCCTGCGCTTCTTTTTGCTCATGGCTAGTGCTCTACCCTTTGAGCCACAGCGCAATTGCAGCTTTTTCTGTGTATGTGGTACTGAGGAATTGAACCCAGGACTTTGTGCATGCTAGGCAAGTACTCTATCACTAAGCCACATTCCCAGCCCACTTTTTGTGTCTTTCTCCAAGCTTCCCCCATCTCTACTCCTCTCCTTCATGGACACCGTGTGTCTTTTTTTTTTTTTTGGGTCCGGTCGTGGGGCCTGAACTCTGGGCCTGGGCGCTGTCCCTCAGCTCTTCAGCTCAAGGCTAGCGCTCTACCACTTGAGCCACAGCGCCACTTCTGGCTTTTTTCTTTTTGCTTATGTGGTGCTGAGGAATCGAACCCAGGGCCTCAGGCATGCAAGGCAAGCGCTCTACCACTGAGCCACCTTCCCAGCCCCACCGTGTGTCTCTCCATTCTTCTCCCACATCCTTCTTCCTAGACCTCAGGAAGTCCAGCCATGTGCCTCTTTGCTTGGCCCCAAGCTTTGGCAGCATTGCTTGAGCTGGCCTGACTTCCCCAGGGCGGGGTGGGGGCTCCTGGCCTCCCAGAGCTGAAGGCGCCATGTTCAGTGAAGCCATGAATGCCTCCCCCCACCTTGGCTCCCTAGGTGTGTGGGGGGACCCAGCTAGAGTTGCTGGCATTTCTCCTTAAAGGGATCGCCCCCACCCCATTCCCAGGTGGGCCCTGGCCACTGGTCCCCAAGGCTTCAGAAGATCCCTGGCAGCTTTCTCTTTCAGCCTTGGCTAGCTGAGTCACCCTGGGGTGTCTCTCTCTCTCTCTCTTCTCCATGACATCATGCTTCTCCAGGAACAGCTGCAGGGAAGGAGAATCACCTGGGCACCCTCCTCCGTGTGACTCCGGTCATGTGACAGGTGGCATTTATTGGGGTCTCCAGTGTTCACATATAATGGGGTGGGGGGGGGAGATCCAGTGTCAGACTACGCAGCAGGACAGAGATGGAGTCAGGTGGGGGAGGACCGGCGAGAGAGGCGGAGGTAAAAATAGCCGTGCAGGCCCCGACCCTCGGGGCCTCGGGCTGGCCGGGCGCTGGCGGGTGCTGGGCTGGTGTCCAGCAGCTATTCTGGGCCTGGGAGACTCACACACACACACACACACACACACACACACACACACACACACACACACACCCTGGAGGAAGCCCCCCCCCGCCCCTCCCAGCCTCACTGCACCCGCCCCAGGCCGAGGCCATGGCGGTGGAGGAAGGAAGGGAGGGCCCGGTAGGCAGCAGAAGGAAGGGGGCGGAGGCCTGCGGGCCTTGTCCCGCATGTCCAAGGTGTCAGGTCCAGTGATGGCTTCTGGGGGAGGGGGGGGAGGGGGGGGGCTGGACTCAGCACTGGGGAGAGAGAGAGGATAACTCAGCCCATGTCCACTAGGCTGCCCAGGGCCCAGTCTGCTCCCCATCCCAGGCCCCTGCTCACCTCATCGCCGAAGCCCCCGCTGCCATTCCTTGCGCCCCCAGAGGCGCCTCCGATGAGGAGGCCTGTGTGTTCCGGCCGCTCAGATGCGGAGTGGCTCAGCTCTGGCTCCCCTGGTGGCCTGGGGAAGGCGGGGGGGGGGGGGGGGTGGAATTGGGGATGGGGGTCACCCCTAAGAAGGAATTAGGGTTGGGTGCTGGTGGCTCATGCTTGTAATCCTAGCTACTCAGGAGGCTGAGATCTGAGGATCACAGTTCAAAGCCAGCCAGGGCAAGAAAGTCTGTGAGACTCTTATCTCCAAATAACCACCAGAAGACTGGAAGTGGTGCTGTGGCTCAAGTGGTAGAGCGCTCATCTTGAGCTGAAAAGCTGAGGGACAGCGCCCAGACAGCGCCCCATGACCGACTTAAAAGGAGAAGGAACTAGGGGACTGATTGAGGACCGGATAAGATCAACAACAGTGGAAACAAAGCCAGGGGGGCTGTAGTACATGCCTGTAAGTCCAGCCACTCCGGAAGCTGTGATACAAGGAGAATTCTAATCCGCTAGGGCCAAAACAGAAGCACTAGGGGTGTGAGGCTCAAGTAGAAGAGTACTGCCTTGCCAGCACAAGGCCCTGGGTTCCACCCCAGCTCCCCCCAAAACACAAAAGACTGGAACGGAGAGAGATGGAGGCAGATCTGAGGGTTTGGGGTGAGCAGGGTGGGGAGAGTCGAGGCGGACAGATTTGGAGGGGGGTGGAGTGGAGGGTGGGGTAGGGGGCTGGGAGTATTTGGGGAGAGGTGGGGGAGAGGGGTTGGGGTACATGGGCGGGCTGGGGGGCTGAGGGAAGCTAGGAGGAAGTTGGGGTGACTCACGGGGCCCCCTTTTCCGCCCGCCGGCAGCAGCCGGGACGTCCCTTGCGTCTCATGCAGTAGAAAGCAGCCACGACCAGGAGCAGGAGGCCCACACTGACCGCCACGGCCATCACCGCCACGCCGGCCTGGGCCATCTGGGGGGCCACTGTGGGGACAGGGTGGGGAGGTGGGCTCAGCCTGCCAGGCAGGGCCTGCCAGCACCCCACCCCTGGCTCCCCAGAGGGGTGACTCACCCGTCCCGAAGTGGAAGACGTGGCTGGTTTTGCCATGGACGTTGGAGGCCTCGCAGGAGACGCCCTCTCGGCCCAGGGCGCTGCTCACCTTCAGGGTCAGCACGCTGCTCACCCAGCCTGGGCCTCCGCTGGGCTCTGGGGGCTGCGGAGACCTGGATGAGGCCCGGCCCTTGGGCTACAGGGCGAGGGCCGAGGGGGACAGGGGACAGGCCAGAGGTGCAGGGATAATACACAATACTGGGATGGGCTAGGGGTTGGGGGGGTGCTCAGGGCTGTCCCTTACAGTGCCACCCCGCTGGCTCCAGGTGAGCGTGGGCTCTGGGTAGCCGCGGGCGGAGCAGGCCAGTCGCACTTCGTCCCCCTCCGTCCAGCCATCTTTGGGCGTGGGCTCCATCTCTAAGGGTTTTAACTCAGGTGACCCTGTGCAAAATGGGGGATCCCAGAAAAAGTGAGCGGAAGGCCCAAGGACCTGGGAAGGGGAAAAGAGAGGAAGGGGAGGGGAAGAAGAGTTCCTTGAGCTCTGGTGGCTCAAGCCTGTTATCCTAACTACTCAGGAGGCTGAGATCTGAGGGTCGAAGTTCAAAGCCAGCCTGGGCAGGAAAGTCCGTGATCTCCCATGAGCCAGCTGGAAGTGGAGCTGTGACTCAAGTGGTAGAGTTACTACCTAGCCCTGAGCAAAAACAGCTCGAGGATCGTGCCCAGGCCCTGAGTTCAAGTCCTAGGGAACCCCCCCACACACACACACACAAAAGAGAAAGAGAAGAGAGAAGACAGTGCCATTGTCTCCATCCCAGCCGTCCCTGGTCTCGAACCTTGAACCAGCAGCCTGAAGCTCCGGGTGCGGCTGAGGAGGGGGACGGTGGGCGTGGAGGCCTCACACAGGTAGGTGCCCGCCGAATCAAAGGTGATGTTGCTAATGGAGAGTGTGGGGCCATCCTCCAGGGGGACAGAATCCTGGGGAGGAGACAGGAGAAGGCCAGGTAGGGCTGTGAGCAGGTGAAGGGGGCCAAGCAGAGGGTCGGAGACTTGGGGCTCCGTTTCCCCCCACCCCTTACCTTGGTCCAGTGGAGGGTGGGTTTGGGCAGGCCGTGGGCAGAACAATGGACAGGCGTGAGGCTGCTGTTGAGAAACACGGGAAGCTGCTCCTCTACGCTCAGCTCCAGGGGGTCCAGGTCTATGGGGGGGGGACAGAACGGGGTGGGGGATAGCATGTCACCTACCCCAGAAAGCCCCCACCTCAACCAGGGACTCTGCAGGGCTGTCTGGGGGTAAGAACACCACCCAATCTCCTCCTCCAATCTCTCACCTAGGCCCTCAGGCCAAAATCTACAAGTCCAGGAATCAAAGCCCAGGTCCACTTTGCTCCCAGGCTGATGGCTGAGCCCCAAGCTTTGTTGTGTTGTCTGGCGATGGATCCCAGAGCCCCCCTGAGACTAAAGTAAGGGATCTGCTTCCAAGCCCCAACCCCCCCCCCCCCCAGCCCCGCCCCAGCCTCCATCCAAATGCTTGTTCAAGCTCTAGCTTTTGCCTCCTTCCCATGAATCCACATTCATCATGTGTATGTGGTTTAAGACTTTGTGGCATGGGGCTGGTGGCTCACGCCTGTCATCCTAGCTACTCAGGAGGCTGAGATCTGAGGATCGCAGTTCAAAGCCAGCCTGGGTAGGAAAGTCATGAGACTTTTTTTTGTTTTTGTTTTTTTTTGGGTCCGGTCGTGGGGCCTGAACTCTGGGCCTGGGCGCTGTCCCTCGGCTCTTCAGCTCAAGGCTGGCACTCTACCACTTGAGCCACAGCGCCACTTCTGGCTTTTTTTCTATTTTTTTGCTTAAGTGGTGCTGGGGAATTGAACCCAGAGCCTCATGCATGCAAGGCAAGCGCTCTACCACTGAGCCACCTTCCCAGCCCGGAGACTCTTATCTCTAATGAACCATTCAAAAACCTAAAGTGGAGCTGTGGCTCAAAGTGGTAGAGTTGTCAGCCTTGAGCAAAAGAGTTCAGGGACAGTGCCCAGGTGAATTCAAGTCCCAAGACTGACCCCCAACCCCCCCCCCCAAAAAAAAGACTTTATGAGGGTGACATTGTCCGTTACCTGATTTTAAATAACAATTTAAGAAACTAAAAACCTAGTTGGGTGCCTGTAGTCTCGCGCCTATAATCCTAGCTACTTAGGAAGCTGAGATTTGACTATTGCAGTATGAAGCCAGCCTGGGCAGGAAAGTCTGTGAGCCTCTTATCTCCAATAAACTATCAGAAAAAAACTAGAAGTGGCGCTGTGGCTCAAGTGGTAGAATGCTATGCTTAAGCACAAAGAGGCTCAGGGATTTAGGCCCTGAGTTCAAGTCCCAGGACCAGCAAAAAATAAAAATAAAAAAACAAAAACTTTATGAAGCTGAGCCCAGACCGTGGGCATTGGTAGCGCATGCCTATAATCCTGGCTATGTGAGAGGTAGAAGTAAGAGGATCACAGTCCGAGGCCAGCCCTGAGCAAAAGCTGGAGACTCTATCTGAAAATGAAATGAAGCAAACTGGGTGGGAAGGATGACTCCACAAGGCCCAAAGCCTGCAGATCAAACACAAAGCTGGAATTCAAGCCCCACAAGTGCCAGCAAAATCGCCACCTGCTCCACCTACAAGGAGCCTCCTTTCCTTCCCTCCATCTCTGATCTGGCCTCCTCCTCACTTCCTGGCCCTGCTCCCCACCTGAGGAATGAACCTCGGGGCTTCTTGCTTGATGGGCATCTGCAAAGCCAGCTGGGCCACACCCACCAGGCCACACCCACCCAGAGCCACGCCCATCACAGGCCACACCCCATCCCTACTCCTTGATTCCCCTTTCTCACCCCATCTTCCAATGAAGAAGGATCTTCTCAAAGCAATTCTTGCAATGGCTTCTGGATAACTCTGGATCCCATAGTCAAATTCCCTGACACAGGCCACAAGATCCCGCCCTGCTGGCCTCTTCTGATCACCATCTTCTGTTCCTTTTCCCACGTGGCTCCACTGAGGGGATCTCTTGCTAGTTTTAGATTTCTCCAGTGCCAAGTCCTGACCTGCCTCAGCTCCTTCAAACATGCTTTGCTTATGCTGCTGTGTTTTAGCTCTTTGCATTTCTAATTTTTTTGTCGACTGCATTCAGGACCTAGGCGCTGTTCCTGAGCTTTTTCACTCAAGGCTAGTGCTACTTGAGGTTCTCCAGTGGTTCATTGGAGATATGAATCTTAAGGATGCTGGGTGCTGGTGGCTCACGCCTGTCATCCTAGTACTCAGGAGGCTGAGATCTGAGGATTACGGTTCAAAGCCAACCTGGGCAGGAAAGTCCATGAGACTCTTATCTCCAATAAACCACTAGAAAACTGGAAGTGGCACTGTGGCTCAAGCAGTCGAGTGCTAGCCTTGAGCTGAAGAGCTGAGGGACAGCGCCCAGGCCCAGAGTTCAAGCCCCATGACCGACCAAAAAAAAAAGAATAGTCTTAAGGATTTTCCTGCCCAAGCTGGCTTGTTCCCCCTTCCCCCAATCCCCGTCATTGAACTCTGGGCCTGATCTTAAGCTCAAGGCTAGCACTCTACCACTTGAGCCATGGCACCATTTCCAGTTTTCTGGTGGTTATCTGGAGATAAGAGTCTCACACTTT